TATCATTAAATTATCGTTTTTTAACTTACCGACATCACAAAATTTTGAAATAAAAAGAATAAAACAGGACTTAAACGACAACTTTTCTTCTCAGAATATATTCTATGCATGAAAATACACAAATTTGCAGAATTACAGGAAAATAGGAAGAAAAATATTTATCAAATCCTCTAAGTTGAGTTTTCTCCGACAGGAGTGTCCGAATTTGTTCTTCCGTGCAGCGCTTTTCCGAAGTCATATTTCGAGCCTATTTTTTTCATGATCAGACGCTTGAGTTTGGTTCTTTTTTTTTTAGTCCGTGATGCAATGGTTCACCTTGCTTTTCTTCATCATGCACTTGATAACGCGTGATAGGGGAAGAGTAGTGGGATTAGTTGCTGTAATAATAGTTACTTTGAAGCTATAGCTATCAGCAACTACCTTCACTCTTCCTGCACCACGCATTACACCAAGTGATAACGCAAACCAGAATCTAGTACTATTGGTTTCAAAAGGTTGTTAACAAATTGTTTTTTTTTAACAGATTAGCTCGCTTTATTTTCAGGCTTCTTCCCCAGAGGGACATTTCCCCTCTGAGGTATTACAAGGAAAAAGCGACTAGGCCGCGCGCAAATATATATATATATTTATTGCGGGGGACAAGGCCCTCCGCATGGGCAATAAAACTAATAGGTTGAGGGGCAATCCCCCCCCCCCAGCCTGCGCAAAATATCACAGTTATTTCATCTCCCCAGCACGCATATTGTTTAACGTGGCATATTGTTTAACATGGCATACATACTCCAACTGTCTGTCTCAGAGAAAAAATAAATAAGATGTAGAAGGTTAAAAGAATAAAAAGAGTAGAGTACAAAAGTACTTAGAAAAGAAAGAAAAGAAGTAAAATAGCATAATTAAGAGACAAAAGTGTTTAGAGTAAAAATAAATAAATAAATAGATAAAACCAGCAGAGAGTACCTTGTATCAAACGATAGATAAAACCAGCAGAGAGTACATTTCTTGAGAGTATATTTATTGCGGGGGACAAGGCCCTCTGCAATAAAACTAATAGGTTGAGGGGCAATCCCCTCACAGCCTGCGCAAAATATCACAGTTATTTCATCTCCCCAGCACGCATATTGTTTATTAACGTGGCATATTGTTTAACATGGCATACACACGCCAACTGTCTGACATTTTAGAGAAAAAATAAATATAATAAGATGGTTAAAAGAATAAAAAGAGTAGAGTACAAAAGTACTTAGAAAAGAAGTAAAATAGCATAATTAAGAGACAATAAAAAGATACAAAAGTGTTTAGAGTAAAAATAAATAAATAAATAGATAAAACCAGCAGAGAGTACCTTGTATCAAACGATAGATAAAACCAGCAGAGAGTACCT